CTTTAACTTTTACCAAAGTATTTTTATAAGATACTTGTACTTTTACTCGAGTATCACTTTGAGGTACTTTATACAACACTGCAAATTTAAAAAATGTTTTTAATTCATTTTAGATGGAAACTAACATTCTTACCTTTCACATACGCTGAGCACCTGACGGTCTCTGTGCCCAGCTGCAGCTGCAGACTCGTCACAGAGCTGCTGACACCATGAGGCGACCTGTGTTCACTGGGCACCAGGCTAACAACACACAGCAAAACGCACACACCGTCACCGTCATGCTAACTTGATCTTTAATAGTTTCTGTGTTTGAGTAGCAGCCTTCCAGCGACAGATTTCACTTAGTGGAACAGCTTTATACTGAAATCCATTTTTCTTATTGCCTTTTTTTTATGTGCAAGAGCCAGCGGACACACTGGACAGGTCGTAGGGACACATTGAGATCATTTAGAGTTGTCCYATAATAAAATCAGTCATAAATTAATCAACTGGAATTGCATCGTGTGTTGATTTGAGTCGTTTTTACTGTTTTTCATAGAAACAATTTTAAATTAAAATGAAGAAACATTTAGATAACGAGGTGGAAGTGTGTTTGCGTGAATGGAGCCAGGTGTTTCTTACCCCAGCCTCTGACAGCAGGAGGTGGAGATGTGGTTGTGTACGCTGCCAGTGTTGATGGATGCCTTGACTTCAGTCTCGCAGCACTGCGGGGAGGACAGAAGGGGGATTTTTGAGTTAATGTAGGTGATTTTCCAGTTCACTCTTCCACTGCTGCACGCAAGGAAACTATTTGTCACGGTTGCACATGTCTTTGGGGAGCTTTTAAAAATACCGATTTCTCCTTTTTTTGCTCAGTCCATTTATCATCCACGAACTTATAAAACTGCCAAACTGCAAAATAACACTTCCTGTTCGCTGAGTCGTTCCAAACCAGTTGAATGTTCGTCTTTGATAATATTGATTGAGCTGCAGGTATTTGAGTTTGCAGCCCCACAGTTAAAAAATAACCAGATTCTGTGTGAGACTGCAAATATCCTGAGTTGTTTTGGGWTTTTAGCTTATATATTAAGTTACATGTTGCTGACCGAAGATGCTGATTCCTCTGTTTGTGTACACTTAGTTCAGATTAATGCATCACTGGTGTATAAAATATTAACCAAGTGAATCACAGTCACATTTTCCTAATTTTATCCTTTATGCTGTAGTGGGGTTGAAATGATCCCTGAGGMTTCTGGGGACATTTTAAGCCAACAGTAAAACATCATTTAAAGGTTTGTAGTTTTTATCTCATCTATTATCTCTGTCTCAGTTATACCAATGGATCTAATGACTGAATCGTTGTGTTAATCAATAATTACCAGCCGGTTCCGCATTTCCAATCAGCTCAAGAGCTTTTTAAAACTAATTTAATCTTTGCTTCAATCTCAGTGCTTCATTAAAGCCCACTCTAAACAAGGATAAAACTGATTCTTTTTATGTTTTGTTTTTTTTTGGTTTTCCAAATTGCTTTTTCCTGGTCTGCACTGATTAAACATACTAAAATTCTTTTTCTTTACAAATAGCACAAAACAAATCTATCTCCAGTGGTGCAAGGATGGTTGTTTTAGAAAGAAGACTTTGTACTTTTAGATTATGAGCATTTTTCAGTCATTGATTTGTGAGCTTAGTTAGGAAAAAGACCAAGGTTTTTCTTWCAGTTTGAGAGAACACACTACTAACAGCAGTGGTGGCAACTTGGCCTATGTCCACTAACATTTTGTTCTTTACACGCATATTTCCTGTCTAAAAGGCATTTCATGCCCCAAAAGCTGTTTCTGTACAGCAAAAAACTGCACTGGGTTATAATGGTTACCTCCAGCATCCTCCTCCTTCACCATCTTTTGAGTCTCTGTGTGAAAATAATTAAAGGCAGATTAAGAAACAGAACATATGGTGGCTCTGCATGCATGTGAGAGAAGCAGTAAGGTACCACCCCCACACTGCATAAATTAGATATATTATAAATGGTGTTTTTTAAGCACTTGCATAGAGTCTAGTATGTTTTAATATTATTATTTGCTGTGATTTAAATGGATTTCAGAACRTAAAGCTGCAAAGATCAGTCAAGGCCTTTATTGGAAATAAAACCAGCGGTAATTTAATGTTTCCTTTTCAACTTTTAAATAACTTTATTATGTTTTATTTTGAACTGTTTGTTGGATTAAACAAGGTGTTTGGAAACCATTCCACAAATTGAGGCTAATTTTTAATAAACAGTTTCATAGAGTAATACATTAATAGGCATCATTTAATTTATAGATAAATGATTAGAGTGTATGAGGGAGATGAAAATGAGCAACTGTTGATTATTGAAGAATATGCTTTTATGGTAACATTTTGACAACATTATTATAATGAAGTATTTTCTGTCGTAGATTTCCTTCGTCTGTTCTCGTTTCTTGATTTGTTTTTCCTACGACTATCCTGTGACTATCATCTCCTTCATAAATCAGTACTTTATTGCCAAAGGATATCCACCCGCTCTGTTAGGAATAAGCACATTCCCTTTCCAGGCATGTTTTTCTGGTGTTTCTGTCTCCGTACAGACTGGGCCAGCTCAACCAGCCTCTATTCTCCTCTCAGGCTTATCAGGGGACACACAAACCTGCTCTTTTGTTGAAGTGCTGGTGGCACTAAAATCCCTCTATATCCCTGAAGTTAAAAATAGCTGAATGAGTAAGCAATGAATACCGAGCTTTTACTAAGGTAAAAACACTAAAGCTAAAGAGGCCATGCTGAATGTATTGCAAAGTAGAAAAAAAGGGTTAATTTAATGTCCATCATATACTGCCAAAGTATACAATATTTTTATCACTAATAGCTCAAAGGAACATCTTTGTTTTGCATCTTCCACCTAATCCTTACTGTGTCATATCACTTTCATCTTGTTTATTTTAACCGTTTTCTTTCCTTCTACTCTCAATGAACATATTTTCTCATATACTCAATCCTCTATGAGCTCACATGAGAAACTACCAAACCATTGTCAAATTGCCCTTCATATCAAAGATTTTGTTAAAATAGTTTGTAACTTGTTGCTGATTTTAATTAAAATTCCAATATGGAATCAAGACACCACTCATTATACTGACCAATAACATTCTCCCCTTCCATCTCTTTAAGGTTGTCTGCTTCTTTTGATACAGTTGATCCTGCTTTTTTCATTTATTGATGGATTGCAAAACTAGGTTAAGATTTCTGATATAGCTCTTCTTATATTTCAATCTAAAACTGATAAAATTACGGGGTACCTCAGGGGTCTTAGATATGCTCCTCCTTGGCCAGTTAATACAAAGCTATGTGGTTTATTATATGCTGACGATACTCAGATGATCTGCTCTTAAAATCTGGTGGTTGCACTAAAGTTACTGTTCTCCACATGTTTGGCTGAGATTAGAAACTGAATGACTTTAAATTTGTAAATGAGCAGAAAAACTGAAGTGGATTTTTCTCCAAATCTAGTTGGACTACATTTTTCAGTCCCTTGCTACTAACTCAAAACCGGTGGCTAAAACATGTCATCTTGAAGCAACAACTCCTATTGTTAAAGCTGTAGTTTAACTCTACCTGAGAAATATAAACTATGTTCTTATATCTTTTCAACAGATGTTTTAATTCATGTTTTTGTGTCATCACACCTAATCTATTGTCTTTTTTCATGATGAAGCCATGCTCACTTAATTAGTGCAAACCTCCTCTCCACAACTTCTCATTTCATTCTATGGAGAATCGAACCTAACATCATTAAAATTTAAAGCAGAAATATATAAATGGTCCAATAAATAAATAAATACACTTAAAATGCACCAATTATTGTTAATATTTATAATTTACCTTTATTTTTCCAGATTAGTTCCAACAAATTATAAATTTATCACATACCGGTAATTTAAGTGTTAATTTTTTTTTTGTTTTTCCTACTTGTAGATGCATTTGTGTCTCTTAAATGTTATTTTTTTATTTTCTCCTTTGTTGTTGTTTTTTTTTACATTTCTCTGTCTCCTGTCTTTAATTGACCCTGTGCATTTCTGCCTCGTTATGCAAAAAAGGTGGGCGGGGCTTCTTTGGTCAGCTCCTCCCCTATTGGTCAACAGACAGGAAGGAGCAAGATCCATGAGCAGATCGATTGTTCATGTCTAGTAAACCTCGCTATCAAACTAGAATGAACTGGTCTGGAAACTTCACTGGGTGTGAAGCGCCTCATTTTGATTTAAAGAGACAGCCTCAAAAAGAGTTGATCTGAGACACATCTCAAAAAAAGGGGTGAAAGAGGGGCTTGTGGAGTTGCACTAAGGAGGAATTTAGACCAAAGCATTGCAGTTCCACTTTATTTAGACACCAACGGGATGATTTAAATGTGAAAAAGAAGGATTTCGTAGCAGAATATTACTCCTTTAAGGTCTTCTGATCAAAGCTGAGAACACAAGGGTGGTTTCAGTCCAGTGTCCAAGACTCTAGAAACGTCTTTCTCTAAAGTGCTTTACATTACAATTTAATAGTACTAAAATAAAACTGACAGTCCTTTTCAAACTAAGAAATCCCAGCAAATCAAGAACAATTTGGTTGTTTTTCTCTATTTTCTCTTTCTTTATTTTAGCCCTGAAAACCCCAGAGTTTGATCATTTTAAGCTCCAATCTATTAGTACTAAAAGTCACCTGCAGTGAATAGTTTTAGTGTACATGTGGACGTGTCAACCTGATTGGATTTGTAATCACTGACTCACTTATCTGTGATTCTGATCTCATCTGATAGCTGCTGAGTCCTGCCAGGCTGATATGTTCTGAAGGGGGGCTTTAAGAGATGAGTCACACGACCACAGCGGTCCTGTCTTTGTCTTTTTATTCTTTTCAGCTTACGTGCTGAATGTGGGTAAATAAGCRCAGGGTATGTTTTGTTTAATACCTTGCACTGAATAATTAAAGCTCCGAGGCAGCTCGAGCTCTCGGGCTTCTCGGCTGAGCGTCGAGCTCCGGCCTCGCTGTCGTCTTCCTCCTCCTCGTCCGATCGGAGGCTTTTCTCGCTTTCCTCAAAGGACTCCCTCTCCTCGGTCGAGTCGTCCGCTGTGCTCTCGCTCCTCTCCTCGGCTTCGGCGGGCCCGTCCTTGCTGTCAGCCAGAGGGGAGCGGACCCTGGTGCTCTGGTCTCGGGCTTCCCCTCGCAGCCGCGTGATGTTTCCCTCCAGCAGACGTCGCTGGACAATGCTGTGAGGTTGCTGAAAAGAAAAAGAAAATACATTTTAGAATGTGGCTTTAGTTTCATGCCTAAATGGAACATAATCCATTATAAACTCATTTTAAATTTAACCAAATTAAATGAAGATTCTGACATTTTTAATCTGGAACTCTTGTTGTAAATCATCCTTTTTACTCGAACTAAATCATGTTTTCTACCACTTTTCTGCAGATTGAAATAATTATTTTATAAAAGCTGTTTTTGTGCCTTCAGTCTTCCAAAGTAAACCATTTGTTTTTTTAGCTGTATGAGATTAACAGAGTCTGAAATGTACTCACCAGTGTTCCAATGTAAACAAAGGAATTGTTGGCAACAAAACGCACCGTTACTGAAACTCTGCATCTTTTTCTCATGAATATATTAACTCCAGTTCACTCTATATCTTAGGGATCCACGATTAGTTGTAACATTAAACTTTATTTGATAAACATTTATTTTAACTGTAAGATAAAGACTGTAAAAATACTGTAGGCTGTTTAGTTTTGTAATTTTTTATATATATATTTTAACATGGATGGAGCCATTTTATTTACACGCAAAGCATTCATGGGTAAATGATGACATCAACTAGGTCATTGGTGCGAGGCTGCTAGTGAGCTATATCCACCCAGAAGGTTAATCTTGGACAATATCTGATGATCGACTCTTTTAAATGAAACCAGAGAGCGTTGACAGAGARGAGAAGGTAGAAATGACTCAGCCTGTAACTGAAAATATAGATGGAGGACAACAGAGTTGCTTCATGGAAAAAGAACCTCAGCTTAGCCTGTTAGCCTTAGCACTAGCCCTAATATATATGTATTAGCTCAACGCTAGCGCAACAAGCTAAACTGAGATCCTCCACCCATATTTTCAGTCACAGGCTGAGTCATTTTTGTGTTCCCCTCTCTGTCATGTAGATGGAGGACTTCAGTGACAAGAGGAGAATGTGTAGCGCTGAGCTAATAATGGTGATAGCGTCGGGGCTAACGCTAAAGCTAACAAGCTAAGCTGAGGTTC